GACACTAGGCAAAAAAGGGAACGTAAGGGCATCTGGAATTGAGTGTGATAATGCAGAGAGAGGGGGCCAAGATATGAAGAAGGGATCAGAAACAAGTTGGTGCTAAAAGCAGACTCCGCCCTCTATCATGGTTAATTTTGTCTATCAACTTGGCTGAGCCACGGTGCCCAGACTAGGTCAAACGCTATTCTGGATGTTTATGTGGGGTGCTTTTGGATGAGACTAATACTTAAACCAGTGGACTTTGAGTAAAGCAGATTGCTCTTTATGATGTAGGCGGGCCTCATCCAATCAGCTGAAGACCTGAGTAGAACGGAAGACTGACCTGGAGTAAGGAATTAGCCAGCAGCCAGCCTCTGGACGAACTACAACCCTGGCTCTTCCCTTGTGTCTAGTGTGACACCCACCCTGAAGATTTCGGACTTGCCAGCCCATAATTACATGAAACAATTCCTTGAAATAAATACTATGGATCAGTAGAGAGGTGAATAGATGCAATCTGTGTCTCTGGAGAACCCTAATACATTTACATAAAATTGATCTTACTGATCTTCTTAATGGTGAATATAGGTATTTGTTTTAAAATTCTAAAGATAGAGCTTTTAAGGACAAATAATAGAAATCCACTCGATGTAGCTATGGGGGTGGGGGGGATTTGTTGGCTAAAGTCATTGGAAAGGTCAGCGACACAGCTTCAGGCACACCTGTATCTGGGGACACAATGTTGTCAGAAGTCCCTTCGATTCTCTCTCCCTGACCTTATGCACAGGAAAATAAACCTCAAACAGCGCTGGAATCACATCTTTATAGCCTGCAGTCCACGGAGAGAGAGTCTACTCCTCCATCCTCACTTTTCATATTCTAGGCAAGGATTCTGATAGGTCCAATGTAGGCTTGTACGCCCCACTCATCCAGTGGCAAAGGGCAGGACACTGTGATTGGACAGTTCCACCAGCACCAAACCGAGTCACCAGAGGCACACACCGTCTACAAGAGCCAGCAAGTCCCCCAGCATGGCGTGAACTCCTTTTCTTCAAAGGAAAAGGGAAGGTGTTGCAAAAAAAAAAAAAAAAAAAAAGAACGGACACCTGGAGACACAAGCTAAAGATGCCCACTACATCGGATGAACATGCACCAGGAAACCTCACATTTAGGAACAAAGGATGCTGACTCCAGCTAGAATTAACATATTCCCCTATTTTCCCCTCTGGGGTGCCTCCAAATTTTCCTAGTAGGCAGAACCTAGGGCAGAGTTTTCTAGCTCTGCTAGAAGGAAACTCATTGTACTGCCAAGGAATGGTCCACGTGTAGGAAACCATGAGATTAACTGGTCCTGTCTACCATTTCTGTTCTGCAGAATGCGAACAGAGCTGCAATGGAAGCAGACCATCAGGGAGCTGCCTCGAGCTGAAAAATCACTAGAAATGTAAGGTGATAGAAAAAAAAAAGGATTTCCTAAGATTCTTTTGGGGGTTGGGGGGGTGATACAAAGGCATTCCTGCATAGTCTGCAGATGCCCTGTGGAGATGCCACAGATAACTTCCTCCAGTGTGGGGAAATGGAATATAAAGCTGGGTTTTCCCAAAGGAATGTAAATTCCCACTGGACTGAAGAGCAGCTTGGCTTCACACTGCTGGGGAGAGGTGGAGGCGGGGGATCACACATGCACACGCCACTGCGTTGGCCCATTAGGGTCAGGAGCAAAGGCAAGACGGAAAAGACTTTGGCCCACTAGAAAACTGCACCTACGGAGGCAGGGAGTGCTCGCTCCTCCATCAGGAGGGGAATTAGGTACCATCCCCTTAAGGCAAAGTAGTAGTAGAGCAGCAGTGTGCACAAGGGTCTGCAGCCAGGAGGCCTGCTTTCCCACTAAAGCTGTACGAGGCAGTGGAAACCGTACCTCTCCCTGTGCCTCACGGGGACAGTAACAGTTCCCAATCTCAAGGGATTAAATGACTTCACAAATGTAAGGTGCTGAGAATAGTGTTTGTCATGTAGTGAATGCCAATGGAAGTTTGCTATTTTTTTTTTTCTGTTAAGTTTGCTATTTTTAAATATTTTGCTCCTTGTCATTCTGGATAGCATGTCATTCTAATTTTCAGTAGCAAAAAAATCCTCCAAGTGCTTGGCTGACTCTTACCCAACAACTTTCCTTTCAAATACCTACTGGAATGTCCCACATTTATAAAGTGTTTTCAATCATACTTGCAAGATTTTATACATTTGTGGGGGGTGGCTAAAATTTTGGTTTTCACCAAGCACAACTAATGTGAATGGTTACTTCCCTTTTTGGGGACCATATAGGAGAAAATTAAGTATAATTTAATCATTCAAAAATAAAAACTTTTACCTGATGAAACCACACCTTCTAAATTAATTTCTGGTCAAAAAAGTGGCTCAATTAATTTACAAATATATTTCTTTTTTTTTTTAGGATTTTATTCATTTATTCATGAGACACACATAGGCAGAGACACAGGCAGAGGGAGAAGCAGGCTCCCTGCAGGGAGCCCGATGTGGGACTGGATCCCAGGACCCCGGAATCATGCCCTGAACCAAAGGCAGACGCTTAACCACTGTTAAGCCCCCCAAGTGTCCCTAAAAATATATGAATTTGTTTTCATTATAAGATCGGTATTTGGCACTGTCTGCCACAGATAAAGAAGCAGTAAAATTATGTACCAAGTCCTCCAGGGCTCTTTGTCAGAAGGCGATCAGCTAGCTGCAGGTGACAATACCCACCAACAGTCGTGGTTCATTACAAGAAAACCTCTTATGAAAAAAAAAAAAAAGAAAAAGAAAACCTCTTATGTCACATGATACTCTGAAAATGGGTGGTTCCCAGGCCAGGTCAAGAGTCGATAATGTCCTCAAGGACCCAGGTGTTGTTTCCTTCCTGCCTTTCTCAGTGGACTGTCAGAGCCTTGGATGTCAAGTTTTCAGCCTATGGCATTCCAAGAAGGAAAGAAAGGAATTGAGAAAAGAGCCTTCTTTACATATTTTAACTTTCTCTTAATCAGGGAAGAAAATCTTCTAAAAACACTCTGATAGACAGACCCTCTCTTCCAGCTCGTTGGGTGGAGCTGGGTGGTACGTCCACACCTAGACTAGGGACTGGCAAAGAGAAAAGGAATTAAAATGACTGGTTTAACTTAGTTATAATTTATCTCCAGAGATGGGACCTACCTTCCGTGGTCACATCACAACCACATGATGATTAAAAGGGCCTCTCTCAGTAGGAAGCAGGGGTCCATGTTGGGTGGGCAAGCATTAGTTTCCGCAGCACTCTGTTCCGCCCACTGTCTGCTTCTGTACCATTTCCAGGTCGGCACTTTCACTTCACACTCAGGCCATACTTAGCTCCTTGCAGTTCCAAACACATTTCACAGCTTCCAGGCTCTGTTTACACTGCTCTGTATGCCTAGAATGGTCTTCCCCACCTCTCCTCTTTGTTCCTCATGGCTGCTCCCTTTTGCAGAAAATCTTCCGGATACCTTGGGCTCTCGGTTCCATGATTTCCAGTCCTCCAATAATCTTAATTCATCCCCCACTTCAGCCACTTATTTCATGGCCATACCCAGGACTTGTCATTAACTGCATCTCCTCCACAGTCTCAATTTCCTGTAGCTTCTAAAGGGCACATTCGTGTGTCTAGTCTGGAAAGCAATTCCCAGAGTCTGACCTGAATTCATCTATAATAGCTCAGAGAACAAATTCTCCAATCCCACTATCTGGTTCTTTAAGATATTTACTTATTTACTCATGAGAGACACAGAGAGAGAGACAGAGACACAGGCAGAGGGAAGAGCATGCTCCCCGTGGGGAACCTGATATTGGCGGGACTCCATCCCGGGGCCCCAGGATCACAACCTGAACTGAAGGCAGATGCTCCACCACTGAGCCACCCAGGTGCCTCCCCCCCCCCCCCACTGTCTGGTTCTATGTACCAAAGGACAAAAATATAAACTTTAAAGCCCAGCATTCACAAATGCTGGAGTTATTCCTGTTTCTACTCATATCCGACTACCCATGCTTTTGGGAACCAGAATTCCATAAATACAATGTACCACCACTGCTATTTCCCTCTTTCCTATCCTGATATTGTCTGTAAACTACTGTCTCTGAATTATTATAGACAATGAGAGAGAAATGCAATTTAATATTTTCGATATCTGAAAAATCAGTACCTCTATGGGAGAAAGACAACTGATCAAATTTCTGCCATGGCACAGATTATAAATCTCTGAATCAGGAGAAGCCAGTGGAAGAAGAACCAAAGCAGTTTCTCATCTTTTCCCAGAGATTCTGCTTCATAAAATAAAGCCTGAGCATGCTAAGACAGCTTTTCCCTCAATTCAGCCTATTGTTTCTTCTATCAACAGAAATTCGGTCTACATTCTGGAACTTGGTTCTTTATTAGTTTTCAGCATTACAACTTTTTTTTATTTTTATTTTTTTGGTCTTTTAGTGAGAAGTTATGTGCCACTACATTTAGGGCTCCCAGCCTGATGCTATTTTTTAAGAGACAGATGGGGGGGGGAGAGGCAAAGGGAGAGGGAGAGAGAGAATCTTAAGCAGGCCGCACACCCAGCACAGAGCCCAATGTGGGGCTTGTTCTCACAACCCTGATATTATGACCTGAGCCAAAATCAAGAGTCAGACACTTAACCAACTGAGCTACCCAGGCGCCCCTAGCCAGATACCATTTTTAAGACAGAATTGTTAGGGCTTTTTTTTTAAAACAAGATAAAAATCCAATAAAGACAGTTTCAGATATTTCACAGAGCTAAGCCATTTTAGAGTATTTTTATTTTTTTTTATTTTTTTTAATTTTTATTTATTTATGATAGTCACACACACAGAGAGAGAGGCAGAGACATAGGCAGAGGGAGAAGCAGGCTCCATGCACCGGGAGCCCGACGTGGGATTCGATCCTGGGTCTCCAGGATCACGCCCTGGGCCAAAGGCAGGCGCCAAACCGCTGCGCCACCCAGGGATCCCCATTTTAGAGTATTTTTAAAAGCATTCTCCGTATTCTGTATTTAAAAAGTAAATAAATTAAATGGGAGAAAATGAACTGCTTCACATATTATGCAAAGAAGGAACCATGAGAAATAAAGAACAAACATTAAAATATCCTTGGATAAAATCCACGTGTACAGATGATTCAGGATGTTATAAATAACTCATATGAGGTAAAGCAAACATGCAATATTTATATATAAGTCTCTGAAAAAAGGGCATATTTTATTAATCCTCAAGTTTCTTAGATTAATAATAAACGCTTGGTATATAGTATCAGTAAGTCCAATTGCTGGGCCCACAAAAAATTCTAATTATTTTAAGTTGAGTTTGCTTCTTTTTCATCTGATTCATCATCCATAACCTAAAACCAAAAAAAAAAAAAAAAAAAGAGAGAGAGAGAGAATTTAAGAATTAAGGATTAGAAATTGCTATTTTTCCTGATTGTACCATTACTTGCTTACCTAAAATACACTATAATAATGCATATCAACCCAGTAAGAGTAAGTCTATCAACAGCCCCCAAAGCACAAAGTTTGTCTCACAACCTGGAATCATAACATAGAAGCAAATTTAATATTAGCAAATTAACTAAGCACTGGTCTCTTTTTTTTTCTTATCCCAAAAAAATCTAATAGCAGAGTCTCAGCTGGACACTGACCATAACAATTAACTAACTTTTTATTTCCTAGTCACAAGACTAATGTTAATTGACTGTTTTTTTTTTTTTCTCCCCAAAGCATTCTATTTACTTGAATATATTCTTAGGAGCTATACCAAACTATTATAAAATATATCTTAGAAAAATGAATCCCCCCAAAAAGAAATAAAATATCATGCTAACAACTAATTATTTTGGTTTAACTCAGATAAAAATTCATTTTATAACTTAAAAAAATGTGAGGACCTTCATTTTTAATGTAAAATTATTAGAAAGATACTAATGAATACCCGATTAAAAATGAAAAGATTTATTTATTTATTAACAACAGGTTTATTTACTTGAGAGAGAGAGAGAGAGCGAAGCGCCGCGCACACACAGAGCGAGAGCACAAGCTGGGGGACGGGCAGCAGGAGAGGGAGAAGCAGAGTCCCCGCTGAGCACAGAGCCCAGGCGAGGCTCCATGTCACAACCTTGGGATCAGACCTGAACCAAAACCAAGAGTGGGACATGTAACCAACTGCACCACCCATGTGCCCCAAGATTAATAACTTTTCATGAGTTAATAATACTCAGAAAATAAAAGGTTGTTCTTTAGAGAGGAAAAGAGTTACACAAACTCAAGATTTTTGTTTGTTTTCAACACACCTACTACAATTAAACACCAATTCAAGTTTATAACCTGACTACCAATTCACTACCCCGCCCTGGATAAGTGAACAAAGAAGATAAAGGAACATTTTGTTTCTTTAAATCTAGAAGAATCTGATTCTGATCCGAGATTATCATGGAGAAGTACTTCTCTCATAGTTTCTCTTTTGAGTTGTGTACAAATGGATATTTATTTCCAAGGAATGGATATTTTATAATTAATCTCAGCAACATTCAATCCAAATAATTTTGTCAATCACCTCCATTTTTAGGCAGAACATTCCTAAATTTGGAAAAATATTTCCAAATACTTTATAATACAAAGAAACACACAGGACTAAGTGTTGGAGAGGAACACAAAGACCTGGATATGATTACAAGCTTCCCAAGGACTTCCCCATAAACATAAATCTGAAACACACACTCAAAGAGGCTTTGGACCAAAGTAGACAGAGCCTAAGTCCAAGGGGGAGGACTGATAAGGCCTTCAAAGAGGAGATGGCATGTACTGTACCAAAAGGACAGGCTTTAATACCACCCAGATGAGTGGTTCTCAGAAAAGCTGAGGAGATACCTCTCCTTAAAGGCACAGAACGATCTAAAGAGTGTTTCCAAATTTCCATTCTTTTCCTCCTTGATAATCTCTTTCCATAAGGCCAAGCCTCTTGGTTGAGAACTGCTGCAGTGAAAGTCACTATTACCACTGAGAAGGTTCTGTGCTATATTCCTTAGATACCTTGGGGAGAAAAAAAAATGCTAGCAGGCTATACCTCGGCTCAGTACACTGTTTTACTATACAACAAAGCAGGATCTCTCGATGAGCTCTGGCCCAGGTAAGTATGATATAGTGGAGCTCTTCCAGAGAGGACTTCCAACTCTCATCTACAAAATTCCATGTTTTGAATCCTCTTTTCATAATTTTTCTACAACCAGAGCAGCAGTATGGTCTCTGAGTCTCCATTTCCTTATATGTAAAATGGGAATGCTTTACTCAATACTGTGTTGTGAGATTAAAGAAATAATATTTGTAAAAAGGGCCTGGCAAATAGTAGGTATTCATAACACTAAAGTGAATTCTAAAATAAGGAATCTTCAAGTCTGATAACAATTATAACACAAAGTTCCAGGCCCTGAAGAATATGTAAGGTGACAAATTTCTTTTTTCTCCCCTCCAAAATTTATTTTAATATTGAATTTCAAGTGTCATATAATATTGGCATACCTGTTCTACACCCTCCACTTCTGGAATATAAAATTGCAGCATGTTCTGAATTCCATTTTTCAGAGTAATGATTGAACTGGGGCAGCTGGTACAAGAACCTTGGAGCTTCAGCTGGACAATGCCATCTTCAAAGCCTTTATAGATAACATCTCCTCCATCTTCCTGCACAGTTGGCCTGTGGTCACAGAATATTTGTGATGTATGTAAGAGACCTGAAGTTTCCATCAAAAACATTTAAAACAACTTAGGGCTTAGATTTTATATTGGTAAATTCATAGTTAGAGCTACTTATACAACAGAAAATGAGTATTATAGCTAATCTCATTTGTAATTTTTTAAAAATTTCAGATAAAATGCCAAAACTCACTCATACAAGTATTTGCTTTACTTATTATATTTTAATCCTGCTTATTTGCAATCTTTTTAGGCATTTAAGATCTTAGATGTCCTAGTAATTACAGTAATTACCTAAGATAATACTCATTTCTTGTGAATGAACAGAGGCAGACTGACATAACACATGCTGGTTTTTTTTTTTCAGGTAAACTTTGCATGGAAATATAACAATATGAAAAATGCATAAATCACTTATGGTCAATTAAATGAATCTTTACAAAATGAGCACACATTTGTCCCAGGCCAACACACAATGCTAGCACCCCAGAAGTCCCCTCTGTGCTTCCTCACAACCAAAGGTAATCTTCTCGTAACTGGTTATTACCACTGATTAATTCTGCCTGCTTTTTAACTTTATAAATATAAATTCCATTTAAAAAACATATAGCACGGGGATCCCTGGGTGGCTCAGCGGTTTGGCGCCTGCCTTTGGCCCGGGGCGTGGTCCTGGGGCCCTGGGATCGAGTCCCACGTCGGGCTTCCGGCATGGAGCCTGCTTCTCCTTCCGCCTCTGTCTCTGCCCACCCCCCTCTCTCTCTTTCTATGTCCATCATAAGTGAATAAATAAAATATTTTTTTTAAAAAAAACATATAGTAGGGATCCCTGGGTGGCGCAGCGGTTTGGCACCTGCCTTTGGCCCAGGGCGCGATCCTGGAGACCCGGGATCGAATCCCACATCGGGCTCCCAGTGCATGGAGCCGCTTCTCCCTCTGCCTGTGTCTCTGCCTCTCTCTCTCTCTCTCTCTCTCTGTGACTATCATAAATAAATAAAAAAATAAAAAATTTAAAAAAAAAATAAAAAATTAAAAAAAAATAAAAAATAAAAAAACATATAGCATTTACTCTTTTGATTTTGGCTTATTTTACTCTTTATGAGATTTCCTCATCATCACATAGTATTCCATTAAGTGAAAAATGCCAGAACTTCTCCCTGCTATTGCTGCTGGACCCTGCTTCTCCCTCTGCCTGCATCTCTGCCTCTCTCTCTCTCTCTCTCTCTCTCTCTGTCTCTCATGAATAAAATCTTAAAAAAGAATGGATAAGCACATACCGTATTCTAGTATCTAACAATTCCTTAATCATTGCCACAACTTCATCATCTTCTTCAGATCCTAGAAACAATTACAAATAAAATATATCAACAATAGAAATTTTAGTGACACCTGAGAGGCTCAGTCAGTGAAGTATCTGCTTCAGCTCAGGTCATGATCCTGGAGTCTTGGGATGGAGCCCTGTGTCAGGCTCCCTGCTCAGTGGGGAGCTTGCTTCTCCCTCTCCTCCCTGCTCTAGCTCTTTCTTGCTATATCTGTCACTATCTCCCTCTCTCAAATAAATAAATAAAATCTCAAAAAAAAATTTTAATTAAAAAAACCCAGAAAGGGATCCCTGGGTGGCGCAGCGGTTTGGCGCCTGCCTTTGGCCCGGGGCGCGACCCTGGAGACCCGGGATCGAATCCCACGTCGGGCTTCCGGTGCCTGGAGCCTGCTTCTTCCTCTGCCTGTGTCTCTGCCTCTATCTCTCTCTCTCTCTGTGACTATCATAAACAAATAAAAAAAAAAGTTTTAATAAAAAAAAAAACCAGAAATTTTATATCAATGCAAATACTAGTACTAAACCAGGATGATTTTAACTTAATGTCTCATTAAAAAAAATAATAAAAGCACAGAACATGTATGTCTCATTAAAAAAAATAATAAAAGCACAGAACATGTAACTTATGGTGACATAAGGGAAATGGAAATGAAATGATAGTTGGGGAGATGGGAAGATCATTTGATTCTCTGAAGAAAAAAATTATTTTAAGATTTGTTTATTTGAGTGAAAACACACACGCATGTGCCAGGAGGAGGGGCAGAGAGACAAAGAGTCTCTAGCAGACTCTGTGCTGTGTATGGAGCCCAACATGGGGCTCGATTTCATGACCCCAAGATCACGACCTGAGCAGAAGCTAAGAGTCTGTTGTTCAACCAACTATGCCACCCATGCGCCCCTGGATTCTCTGAAGGAAATTAAGGAGCACCAGTCAACTCAACACTTGGCAATAGGGAATCCCTGGGTGGCTCAGCAGTTTAGCGCCTGCCTTTGGCCCAGGGTGCGATCCTGGACTCCCAGGATCAAGTCCAGGATCGAGTCCCACATTGGGCTTCCAGCAGCATGGAGCCTGCTTCTCCCTCCTCCTGTGTCTCTGCCTCATTCTCTCTCTCTCTCTCTATCATGAATAAATAAATCTTTAAAAAAAATACTTGACAATAAAGGTGTCTAACTGACATAACTTGATCTACCAATGATGTTAGGGTTTGAATTTTTTTGGTCAATAAATTTGTAAACTTTCATCATCCTGAAGGATTGAGAAGTGGCAGAGAAAAAAGATTGCCTGGATTCTGATGTACAGTTTGAGACACAAAGCCACACCTACTTCATAAGTTAACTTACACTTTTTTCAATTTAGTATTTTTTCAAAATGACAACCATACTAAATATAGATGTAACCCTTATGAAAATTTACAAAATGTTCTACAAATCTGAATAAAAATCAGTTCTTTCATTTTTTGTCATTTTTGTTTTTACTTTGTAAGGTTATATACTGACCTTCAATACCTTTTTAAAAATTTTAAGGTTTAGAAATTTTTTTCAGAAATTTACCTTTAGGAAAACTAAAAATACAGATAATCCCAATTACGCTAAAAGACACACACAGAATTCTGACAACAGTGTAAATAAAAATTATCAATGTTAAATTACATTAACTTTGAATCTTTTAAATAAAAGAAATCAAATATAATAAAACTAAAACTCTCTTATGTTGGGCGCCTGGTGGCTCAGTCAGTGAGCATTGGACTCTTGGTTTCAGCTCAGGTCATGACCTCATGGGTCATGAGATAAAGCCCACACCAGGCTCCACACTCAGCAGAGAGTCAGCTTGAATGAGTCTCTCCCTCGGCCCCTCCTCCCACACACAAGCACACATGTTCTCTCTCTAAAATAAATAAATAACACTTTTTTTAAAAAAAAAAGGCAAAAAATTCTCTTACGCCAACAAACCTAAGTTTCCTTCCCCACTACCACTTCCATAAACAATCACTATCAGAATTTAGCATGTATCCTTCTAGTATATTTACATTAAATTTACATTAACATGTGCAAATTTTCACAGATAAGATCACATACATACACTGTTCTATACCTTTTGTCTATTTAATATTTCTAAAAAGTTTTTCCATATCAGCATATATAGATATGCCTCAATTTTTAAAACAGGTACACAATAATTGCCGTATAGATTTTTCATTTAGCCAATTTCTGAATTTCAGTTGTTTCCAGTTTGTTGCTATTTCTAACAATCTGAAGCATACATGCTTCTGTGAAGTATGATCAATGTACTTTTGCAAAATCTATGAAGTATTTCTCACGTATCTGTAAGATAAATTTCAAGAGGTGAAATATTGGATCAACAGGCTTTTGTATTTTTTAATTTGGGGAGGTATAGTCAAATGGCTCTGCAAACATTCTATCAATTTTTTGTATATACCTACCAAAAACTCACATAACTGTTTTGGGCATTATTTAAAGTTTACATTAATGGTATATATGTAAGATTACGTAAATAAACATACCCTTCAATTTTCCTTAATCAATTAGTATTTTCTCTTATGTCTTTTCACATTGGTGTATCTCCCAATCTAGTTCATTCCTTTTAATTGCTGATACACTTTTTAAATACTTCAATGAACATGCTTCATGTATTGTTTTGTGTACATTTGTAAGACTCATTTAGGATATATATCTTGAAGTGGACTTGTTCATCTAAATATGACTATATAAATTTTTTGCGTGTGTGTGTATTGTGTGTATATATACGTGTATATTATATATATACGTATATATACACACACACACGACAGTATCTTTATGATGCTGGGAAAGGATAAACTTCATAAAGAACAAATTCTAATAGTCCTAGCAATACTTACTAATCTCCATGCACAGTTACTCTTCCTAGTGCTTTACACAAAGTTAAATTATTCAAAAGGTACAAAAAAGCACAAACCACAAAGGAAAAGATGAATATATGCGACTACATTAAAAAGAAAAACTTCTGTGCTTGCTTCAACAGCATACATACTAAAACTCGAATGAAAACAGAGAAGATTAATATGGCCTCTAAGCAAAGTTTACAGGTGAATTGATGAAATGTTCTGCCTTTTAAAAAATTGGAAAAAGAAAAATTTCTAAATGACAAAAACCCTATAAACATAGTGAGAAGGAATGGTTGCAAAGAAGTCATTTGCAATGATTATACCTAACAAAGGTATATTCACAATATTTTTCAAAATCCTGTTAAAATTAATGCAAAAAAAGATAACTCAGTTTTTAAACATTGGATAAAGATTATGAACAGGAAATTTACTGACAAGAACAATAATGGCCCGGAAACAAATGAAAACCTTCAAGCTCAGTGCTAATCAAGGAACTACACTTAAAACAGGGTACCATTTATACCTAATATATTGGCTTAAGAAAAAAGTAAAAGACACTAAGTGATGATGATGATAAAGATATAAAAAAGTTCAAATTCTTATGTACTGCTAATTTGCATGCAAATTAGAACAATGTACAATACAGTAATTCTACTTTTAGGAATATACCCTAAAGAAACTCTCCACATACCCACAGAGACTTGTACAAGGATGCCCATTGCAGCAATGTTTGTGATAGAAATGAGTACAAACAATTCACTTGACCGTAAGGAACATATTCACTCACTGTAATTTATTATATAATACGATCTAGCAATTAAGCTAGAACTACATTTTTTCAGAATGGTTGTATATATATATAACATACATTGTTTGAAGTTTAAAAAACCAATACCATATATTCCCTGCAGAGACTTATAGTAAAAGTTCAAAAACAAACCAGGTTTATATACATCTCTGGAAACAGAAAGGGGAAACTGATGGATGGGGTTTGTGGGGTTTGGGTTGTCTTTAATGTTTTATTGAAAAATCAGTCTAGGGCAGCCCCCGTGGCTCAGCAGTTTAGCGCCACCTTCAGCCCAGGGCATGATCCCGGAGACCCGGGATCGAGTCCCACATCGGGCATCCCTGCATGGAGCCTGCTTCTCCTTCTGCCTGTGTCTCTGCCTCTCTCTCTCTCTCTCTGTCTGTGTTTCTATGAATAAATAAATAAAATCTTTAAAAAAAAAAAAAGAAAGAAAAAGAAAACTCAGTCTAAAACAACTATGGCAAAAAAATTAACCTCTATAATCTGAGAGGAAAACAAATTGGAAAATTTTTGTGATTGAAAACTTCAGTTTTGTATAATATATTCAATTTATATGCAAGTTTTCAAAAATGATGGAAAAAACTAGTATATGTGAAGTTTTGTTCCCTCTAGAATTGGTTCCAGATCTAAACATGGTACAACGACAAAAATCTGAATTCTCATGACTTCCAAAATCAAGAGAAATGTGAAGAAAGTAGGAAAAAATTTTTAATTAGATTAAATATGAATTACCCAGCACAGTACCTGCTTCTCCTGAAGATGTTTCCTCAGTAACTAAGGGTAAGCCAGAAGCAAAGAAATCCATGATTGTTGCATAAATATCTGGTTTCAGTAAATTCCAGTCTAACTCTTCGCTTTCCTGTAAATATTTAAAGGAAAATGCTGTATTTCTAATCAAAAGCAAAGACTAATACAAAACAATACTTTGTATCTTCTAAAAATCTTTTCCGGGATCCCTGGGTGGCGCAGCGGTTTGGCGCCTGCCTTTGGCCCAGGGCGCGATCCTGGAGACCCGGGATCGAATCCCACATCGGGCTCCCGGTGCATGGAGCCTGCTTCTCCCACTCCCTCTGCCTATGTTTCTGCCTCTCTCTCTCTCTCTGTGACTATCATAAATAAATAAAAAATTTAAAAAATAAAAAAAATAAAAAAAAAAAATAAAAATCTTTTCCTATATACATCCTATACTGTGTAACAACAGGAGGCATTTCTGGAGAAGACCTGTCAATTCCAGTCCTTAATGGATCTGGCTTATAAGGACTTTTGGAAGATATAATCTTAGAACATTCCTCATACTTTCATTCATTCATTCATCAAACTTGTATTAAGTGTGCTGTAGGTACCATGTCTTGTATAGGGAGATATTACAATGATTAAAAGATACTTTTTTTCATGAAGTGAATAAAGTTAAAATATTGAATGAACTCAGTGATTAAAGAGAATGACCAAGAGAATTCTACTCTTTTAAAGAAAATAGGATAGGGTTGTTTGATCAAATATACAAGATATCCCATTAGTATTCAAAACCTTCAATTCACATGTATTACTTAAGAGAACTGAAGAAATTTAGTGACAAAACTGGAGAACATTAACATTCTTATCTATGGCTGTTGTGCTAGAGGACTTATGAACCTCCAACGAGCCTGGTATCTTTTTTTTTGTTAAAGATTTTTATTTATTTATTCATGAAAGACACAGAGAGAGAGCGAGAGAGGCAGAGACACAGGCAGAGGGAGAAGCAGGCTCCATGCAGGGAGCCCGATGTGGGACTCGATCCCAGGACTCCAGGATCATGCCCTGGGCCGAAGGCAGGCGCTAAACTGCTGAGTCACACAGGGATCCCCCAAGCCTGGTATCCTTAAAAAAAAAATAACTATGTCACCTCTATGTCTGGCCAACTAGTTGATTCCATTTTTTAAAAAAGTCGATTATTAAATACCTAGATAGTACTATATCTAAAAAGAGAAAGGGAGCATGTATTCTTTTAGTTTTTTAAAAGAGAGCTCTTTAGGAGGAAAAACTATTAGATGCACTCCATTTAGATTCTCAGGAGGCTGTTAGCCAGTGGCTATACTTAAATACTATTAAAAATGAGTCCACATGCATAAAAGGGGCTATTTTTGCCATGGATTAAGAACCAATTCAGGGTGCCTGGACAGCTCAGTCAGTTGAGCATCTTCTCTTGATTTCAGCTCAGGTCATGATCTCGGGGTCCTGGCATCAAATACCATGTTGGGCTCTGTGCTCAGCTCACAGCTTGAGATTCTCTCTCTACTCATGTGTGTGCTCGCTCTTTCTCTCAAATAAATAAAATCTTTAAAAAAAAAAAAAACGATTTAGACATGATTTAGACATGGTATCCAGAAGACAAGATAAATGAGCACTTCCATGGATACAAGAGCAAAACTAGTGAGTGCCTTAGTGACTGGGAATAGGAACTGGTTCTGGGTAACATTTTAATAACTTATTGGGAATATGGATCAGAGGGCTTCAGATCTTCAGGAAGTAGGGGCCCTATTGAGTAGGAAAATAGTGGTAATAAAAAAAAAGAAAAATATTCCAAAGTTGTCTGAATGAGAAAAAAAGGCAGTACATAAGCTTCAAACACATTTACTCATTTAGAAAAAAGTAACAGGGGTGCCTGCTGGTTCAGTCAGTAAAACATATGACTCTTGATCTTGGGGTCATGGGTTCAAGCCCCATGTTGGACACAGACCTTTAAAAAAATCGGAATTATTAAAGTTATTTCAAAGGATAGAAAAATAGAAAACTGTCTGTACTCTGCTAAAAAAAATAAATAAATGATTCATTTTTAACAAATTATATATAAAACACTCATTTTTATGAATATACCTGTAAAAAACATAAAATATCCATTTCAATAACAAATTATACATAAAAAGTCTCTGAATTATCAATTATAAATCAGAAAAGGAAACAGGTAATAGCTGAAGGTATCAGGTAGATGAAATAGTCCTTACAAAAGGTAAGTGAAAGAAAACAAATCTACTATTCTACCTATTAAATGTCAATATATGCCCTAACTTATTATTTATTAGTTATGCTATTTCACTTAAGAAAAAATAGTGGGGCTGGAAAAATTCCAAAAAGAGTAATTAAATTATGAATAAGGAAGCAAATAAAAGCTGACTTACCAAAATCAAGTCAAAGAAAAAAAAACAACTCTGTAAGATACACTCACATTTTCATCTAAAAATTTTTTACATGCCACAGGCTGTATTTAAAAGGACTAAAAAAAAAAAAAAAAAAAAAAATCTTGTTAAAATATACACATAGGGCAGCCCCGGTGGCACCGCCTGCAGCCCGGGGTGTGATCCTGGAGACCCAGGATCGAGTCCCACGTCAGGCTCCCTGCATGGAGGCTGCTTCTCCCTCTGCCTGTGTCTCTGCCTCTCTCTCTCTCTCTCTCTCTCTGAATGAATGAATGAATGAATAAATAAATAAATAAATAAATCTTTAAAAAAATAAAAATAAAAAGTAAATAAAATAAACACATAATTTGCCATTTGTAAAACGAAGACAAGAATACCTAGTTTACCTAATTAAATTAGATGATATACGTAAAGCACTTCTGTTATGTAAATGCCATACCAGACACGTTGGAGATATTAAACAAAATTGGTCCTCGTTCACCCTCAAAAAATATCAAAGAAAACAAACTGAAGAATACCAAAGATTGGTCAGATGTCTCTACACTGGTAAACAAGTGGGATTGGTCATCACGGATTTACTCACCACAGTTCTATTGGCAGAAACCCCTCAAAGCCTGAAAATTCAGTCTATGAAGTCTTACGTCATTGCTTCTTTCTACAAAAAATTCTTGACGTGCATACCATGTGCTAGGCATTGTTCTAGGTGAACTTAACAAGATGGGCAATCTCTATCTTTATGGAGCTTACATTCCAATGTAGGAAAGACACATAATAAAAATCAACCAAAAAAATGTAACTAAGTGATAAGTGCAATGAAGACAATAAACAGAGTAATGAGCTCCTGGAGGGAGAGCCACTTCAACCGATAGGGGTTAGGGAGGGCTCTGTGAGAATTTAGAGCTGGTAACACTTTAAAATAACAGGGAAAAACATTTTACATTTGGGATACTTGTAGGAAAAACTAGGGCCAGTGGGACTGCCACCATGGAGGAAAACTAATTCTCCTCCACACATAGAAAGCTGTTACGAGAATACTGTACTGGACTGTTTGTAACACGTCACCGATCCAGTCCACTTTTATCAGTTCTATCAGTACATCAAGAATTCAGAGTAATGCTTTCAAACTTCTTAAGAACATAAAAAGTTTTGATTCTGACATAATCTTAAACAAGTGATTCAGTTAGTGATACACATCAATATCACTTATCATCACTTATCATCAATACACACAATCAACAGGCCTAAAAGTGAACATAGTTTCAATTTAAACAGTCCATTTCCCATTCATCTAGTTGAGTTAAAAACAGAACTGCCTGGGCAGCCCCAGTGGCTCAGTGGTTTGGTGCCGCTTTCAGCCCAGGATCGAGTCCCATGTCGGGCTCCCTGCATGGAGCCTGCTTCTCCCTCTGCCTGCGTCTCTGCCTCTCTTTCTGTGAATCTCATGAATAAATAAATCTTTAAAAAAAAAAAAAACGGAACTGCCTTTTCTAGAGGATACCACCTCAGCTGTTGGAATGGGTAGAATGGTTAGATGGACTTTCTGACATCCACAAGTTAACAGGTGCTGCAGAACACCAGAGTCCACTGCTCCTATCTGTGCAGTTCTGAAGTATTGCAGCAGATGTGCCATGACTTAAGAGCCTGCTTTGAAAGCAGGTACACATTCATTCTGTTGGTCAAATATATAAACATAGTTTGATTATATCTGTTTGCTTCTCTTTTTACTCTATCATTTTAAATTAAGAACTACTAAAAATATCAAAACCACCAACAAAATCTCAAGTATGAAAGAAAAAAAAAGAATTAGTAAAAATAATACTTGGAGCCTAAATTCTAGTCCTGCCCAGGCTGAGTCCTGGCCCTGCTGTAGGACAGATATAAAATACTGGACACAATTCTGTATTCAACCCTCTGAAGCTCAAGTTTTTCTCTTTTAAAAAATGAGGGATTTGGACTATAGTTAATTTCAAGTTGAAAATTCTATTTAACAATTAACTGGAAAAAGAGAAGAAGTAAACAATTTGAGATTTTTAATAATATGTATAAAATACACTAAGAAAGAAAATTTTGAAAAAAAAAGAAAGAAAATTTTGGAGATGAATGTTGGAAAAAATTAACAGAACTTGACACATTATTTTATATAATCCTATGTTTACCTTTGTGACAGTGATGAAATCTGGTCCAAAAAAGACACTTTTTACACCTTCGATCCTAAATAACTGTCTGTGAATAAATAAAAAATAAAAGATAATAAAATGCTTTATTATAGAAAAGTTTAAACACATACAAAGGTAGACAGAAAAGTAAAAGAACCTTTACATATCGTCACCAGCATCAATAATTCATGGCCGACAATTATCAACTCCTAGCCAATCTTGTTTCATCCTCTTACCCTAAGATCTAGCAATCCCACTCTTAGGTATTTACCTAAGAAAAATGAAAACATGCTCCACAAAGACCTGTACATAAATCTGTATAGCAGCTTTATTTATAAGCCAAAAAGAATGTTTGGAAATGTCTATCAGCTAGTGAATAACTGAACAGACTGTGAGTACCTGTAAAATGCAGTACTACTAAGCAATAAAAAAGAATAAACTACTGGAACGTGCAAAAATAAGGAGGGCTCTCAAAAGCATTAGGCTAAATGTAAGAAGCCAAACACAAAAGACTGTAAGGTGCCATTTATATGAAACTCTAGAAAATATACAACTATGATGGCAGAAAGATCAATAGTTACCAGGGTGACAGATGTGTTAACTAATTTCACTGTGGTAAGCATTTTGCAAGGCACATGTATATCAAGTCAGCACACTGTATACCTTAAACTTACACAATGTTTTACATCAATTATATCTCAACAAAGCTGGAATTCATTCCCCTGAAACAAAATAGTTACCACCATATGAAAGTGAAGCAAAAAGATCCTATGGGAAGAGAAATGAGGGATTTCTGAAGTAATAAAAATGTTGCATATTTTTATTTTACTGGTGGTTACACAATTTTATATATTTATCAAAACTCTGGACTAGGGATGCCCGGGTGGCTCAGCGGTTTAGCGCCGCCTTCAGTCCAGCGTGTGATCCCGGAGACCGGGGATCGAGTCCCACATCAGGCTCCCTGCATGGAGCCTGCTTCTCCCTCTGCCTGTGTCTCTCCCTCTCTCATGAATAAATAAATAAAATCTTTAAAAAAAAAAAAAAAAAAAAAAACCTCTGGACTATACACTTAAAATTGATGAATTTTATTTCATGTAAATTATACCTCAATAAAATTAATTTTTAAAATCCTCTAAGAGGGGCAGCCCCAGTGGTGCAGCGGTTTAGCACCGCCTGCAGCCTAGGGCGTGACCCTGGAGACCCTGCATCGTGCATGGAGCCTGCTTCTCTCTCTGCCCCTCTCTCTGTCTCTATGAATAAATAAATAAAATCTTGGGATCCCTGGGTGGCGCAGTCGTTTGGCGCCTGCCTTTGGCCCAGGGCGCGATCCTGGGGACCCGGGATCGAATCCCACGTCAGGCTCCCGGTGCATGGAGCCTGCTTCTCCCTCTGCCTGTGTCTCTGCCTCTCTCTCTCTCTGTGACTATCATAAAAAAAAAAAAAAAAAAAAAAAAAAAAAAAACTATTTAAATAAATAAAATCTTTAAAAAATAAAAATAAAATAAAATAAAAATAAAATCCTCTAAGAGGAGGAGGGGAAGATTATTATTTGGAAAGCCCCTACATGGGCAGCCTGGGTGGCTCAGAGGTTCAGTGCCGCCTTTAGCCCAGGGCGTGATCCTGGAGTCCTGGGATGAGTCCCACATCGGGCTCCCTGAATGGAGCCTGCTTCTCCCTCTGCCTGTGTCTCTGCCTCTCTCTCTGTGTGTGTTTCTTGTGAATAAATTTTTCAAAAAATTAAAAAAAAAAAAAAAAAAAAGGAAAGTCCCTACAAGGGATTTTGAAATACATCTTCCTTCCCCAATCACTGGTGTATGTACCATACCTAGTATTACACTCCAGAGCAATTTCCTTATCCCCTTACCCCTTATTAGGAATAAAAGCTGACACACTCCAAAAAAGGTTACAGTTTACCTTTTCTTTGTCTACCATTGTAAGAGTATTACTGGAATTACTAATTTGAAATTATTTAGGAATTTGTCTAAAAAAATGTCATCTGGGTTCTCTAATTCAATATTAAACCTACAAGAAGTTACAAGGTACCTGGCTGCATAGTATTGATCCAATAAACCCAAGCAGATCTATATATAAGTAGGTCCATTGACTGGCTCTGTACACCTGCACTGTTATGAAAGCTTTTTTCTCAAATGAAAGGAACATACAGAAGAATCAACTCAATAATGGGCCATATCATGGGGACTTTTAGGCAAGACTACATAGGTTCTAAAGAACCTAAAGAAAGAAAAAGCTGAAAAGGAGTTTCAAAGATGATTACACATGCTTTGCCATTTAAGTTACTTTCCTTGGAACAATTTCAACTTCTACAATGAAGAAAATAAAATATGATACCTGGAACTGAACACATATGCCAAATGCAGTCTAACTTACTCAGAATATAAAGACTGTTGCCGCTCTTGGGCTGGACAAACTCTTAAAGTTTGACTGATTTTTTTGAGTACTGCATCACATCCAACATAACAAACTAAAAAGTCAGATTCTTCTATCCCACAATTGTGCTATTTGTTTTAAAAATTTAAATAACAAGCCTTAGTATTTGTTCCTGTTAGAATTTAGCTGACTTGCTTTAACCTATCATTTCAGCCTACTGAAACTTTTTAAACATTTCTCTGAATTTTGCCACCTAACATAGAAGCGATTGTTCCCATCTGAAAACTGGTAACTATCACTATCAACGTCACCGATAAAGAAATGTATTGAATACACATGGCAACTACAGAGATATTACAGATACTACAGAGCCCTCTTACATGTCACTAGAGACAGACTTACACTGTGCTTAAATTTGTCTTGTATATAGGATAGTGAGAAATAGATCAAATGTCTCTCTGAAGTAAGATACACTACTGTTTATTCTTATTTATTCAGTTACTCATTCATTCAACAAATATTTCAAAACTTACTGAATATCACACTGTACTAAGCACTAGAGCTAGAATGATGAGCAAGACAGACTGGTCTCTGTTTTCAGGAAGCTTACATCTAGCTTACAGTAAAAACATTCTCTGTTAAAACAACAAAAACAAGATTAGTTTTGCTTGACTGAAGATAATAAATTCTGAGAATTCAGGAAATGAGCTGCTTTCAAAAGACTAATTTGAAAAGGGCTTTTGCCAACTAACATCTGACAGGAATAAGCTCCAGCTAATCTGTAACTAAACAGAGTGTCTTTTTCACTTTTATATCCTTTTAAATACAAAATACATAAATTCATTCTTGATGTAAACATTTCAAACTATTCATACAAACTGAAAATGCCTCTTGACCACCCCTCCCCCAAATCTACCGTTATCACTTGGGCATACAGTCTTCCAGACCTCATGTTAGTATAGTTTTGGGTTTTTTGTTTTTATATACGTAATACTCATATGGTACTCAGTGTTCTGCAACATGCTTTCCTCACTTAACAGTCTCTTTTTTTTTTTTTTTTTTTTTTTAGAGAGGGAGAGAGAGATTGGGACAGAGGGACAAAGGGAAAGGGAGAGAGAATCTTAAGCAGTCTCCATGCCCAGTGCAGAGCCTGATGCAGGGCTCAATCTCACAACCCTGAGATCATGACCCAAGCTGAAATCAAGAGTCAGACGCTTAACTGACTAAGCCACCCAGGCACACTAACAGTGGGTCTTAGAGGTCAGCCTGTGACAGTAAATGAGGGTTCTTCTCATCTTTTTTAATATCTACAGACTATGGACAAACGAAGTTTATTGAACCCTTCCTACTGAGGAGTATTTAGGTTGTTTCCAATTCGTTAACATTACCAACAAAGCTGCAATGAACATCTTGGTACCAACTTGTATATGTATGTGGATGTTCTTTAAGGCAGTGTTTTTCAACTCCACTAGTAACTTGTAAAATCAGTTAGGTATTGATCTGGATTTTATGGAATATATTAAAACAGAATAGAATAAGGAAAATAAGAAAGGAAATAAGAATATATAATGTCAGGGTGAAAATTGTACCAACAAATATGTACAAATTATACGTCCATCTACATGTATGTATATACTGGTTTGTAATATAAAATGTTTCTTACTGTGGACTATAAAAAAAAAAGTATGAAAAACAAATGCTCTAAGGTATATCATGAGAAGTGGCATGTGTAGGTTAAAGGAAAGGCACATTTTTATTAAGGAGAAATTTTAGAAGGGGAGCCTGGGTGGCTCCATCAGTTAAGAGGTTGGCTCTTAATCTCTGCTCAGATCTCAATCTCAGGGTCCTGAGTTCAAGCCCCACACTGGGTTCCATGCTGGCCATGGAGTCTAGTAAAAAAAATTTTTTAATTAAAAAAAAATTTTCAAATTCCTGAGATGAATATATTTCTGGCTCTGCATATAAAATGGCTGTGTGTATAGAAGCAGTTATCTAAGATTTACTTTCCAAATACCCCTGGCAATCAGTATCAGGCTAATGTAAATTAATGTAGATTGATCTAATACATCTTATTACAAATAATTTCTCTAGCTATTACTAAAAAGAGGTTTATTCCAGTAATTTTATTGTTTGTCCTTTATCATCTGACCTACATTTAACATGTAGTGAATTTAAAAACTGTGTCTAATTGACCAGTTTTTTAAAAATCATGCCAAATCTAATAATTATTATTATTTATAGTTCTGAGTGGAATATTTTAGAAACTGCTCCATTTTGAAACATCTAAAAAATTCAGTTATCCTTAAGAAAAAAATGAACTTTTCACTTCTTTTTATGAACAGTTTTAAAGATTTAGAATGGAAATTTATGTTATCATTTTGATGAACTTTTTTTAAGTAAAAATATAAATTCTTATTTAGTCTTGCTATCGATCTCTCAAATACATTACTTTTCAGGAGAAGGGTTTCCTAATATCAACTGTTATTTTTCTTAAATCTCTTACTTGAGAAGAAAATAAAGCATTCTCTACACTGAAAACAGTGCAGTCCACCTAAAAACGCAATCACTAAATGTGGCTGCCTTACCCCCAAACTCAGTTATTTATGTTTCTTGGTAAAAACAAATGAGAAACAGCAATATACCTAGCCAGAGGGGAGCGAAATGCTGCAGCTGGTGTGGGAAAATCCATGGTCCTTGTCTCAAGAACTGGTTTTCCTGGAATAAACTTTAAACTGTTGGGATTTGGGGTATCTTGTGTTTGAATAAACATGTGTCTCACTAAAAAAGAAAAAAGAAGAAAAAATGTTATTCCAGAAAAAACAGTAGTTAACTTTATGGACTATGATGTGCTCATTTCAAAGAATCAAAAGAAGAAAAAAAGATAATAAGGCTTTATTGCTCAAGCTGACGAAATAGTTTTTAAAGACAAAGAACTTTATTGATACATTTAGGATAATTGCACTGAATTTTATACGAATACTGATTATTTAGTTTTGTTACTCAACAGACTCTAGCAATATCCTACTTTTAACTAGGAAGGTATATCATCATTCAAGAGTCTTCAATGTATTTTATTTGATGACTTAGCACTAATGTTATCATATTCATAAATCATCACTATGATATTAAAAACAGTAAAATGCTACATTTTCTTCTTTCCAAAGTGCTTGTTTTTTTAAGATATATATTTATAACAATAATAATACTTTGTGTGTGTGCTTATTACCTGCCAGAGACAGGGCTGAGTGCTTTAAATGTATTTGAGCCTTTAAAGGATCATATGAAGAAACTCCATATTTTCCATTTTACAAATGAAGAAACTGAAGCTTAGAGTTAAGTAACTTGTCCAACGGTATAGACTTAGTGACGTTATAATCATCATGTAGGGGCACCTGGGTGGTTCAACAGTTTAGCACCTGCCTTTGGCTCAGGTCGTGATCCCGGAGTCCAGGGATCGAATCCCACATGGGGCTCCCTGCATGGAGCCTCCTTCTCCTTCCGCCTGTGTCTCTGCCTCTCTCTCTCTCTCATGAGTAAAAAAATAAACTCTTCTAAATAAATAAATAAATAAATGTTTAAAAAATAAAATAAATTATGTAGGTGGGAACCTATGTGAATTACTTTCTGGAATATTTTTAAATTATCTTTACAGGTTCTTCTTTGTTTCCCCTAGGGCCAGTGAATTCATTAAATGAATAAAGAAAGAACAGAATCTTCCATTTCCTACCTTGCTATTATGATAACAGCTTATAGGACAAAAGATAGTACTAGGGTTTAATAGTTTTAAAACGGGTCCTGATTATTTATTACAAAAATAAACTTTCTAACCAAATCAAATCAAACCAATTCTCATCTTAGAGCAATATACTGAAAAAGATTAATTTATTGAGCAGCTATCATGTGCTAAGCGCTCTCTATGACACCATTTAATCTTTTCATTCTCTCAAGGAAACACTGTTCTAATCCTGTTTTATAAATAAGGAAAGTAAAGCTCTAAGTCACTTAGCTAGTTAAGAAATAGAGACAGGATTAAAGTCCTGCCAATTTCCCACCACAGACTTGCTTAACCACTAATACATGCTGCTACTCCACACCCAGCATAGTGCCCAGCATAATAGGAAAATATGTTTAGGGGATCCCTGGGTGGCGCAGCAGTTTGGTGCCTGCCTTTGGCCCAGGGCGCGATCCTGGAGACCCGGGATCGAGTCCCACATCGGGCTCCCGGTGCATGGAGCCTGCTTCTCCCTCTGCCTGTGTCTCTGCCTCTCTCCCCCTCTCTGTGTGACTATCATAAATAAATAAAAAATTAAAAAAAAAAAAGGAAAATATGTTTAATAAATCAGTTTTCCTATCCTGTCACAATCCTCATATCATGTCTGAAGAAAAATAGTAAAATATCAACCAGTAGCAGTTTTATTTTAAATTAGAAAGAGATTAAATTTGGCAAAACATGATTTGTATGAAAGTGGTTTTTTGGTTTTTTTTTTTTTTCCCATTATAAAAGATTATAACTTCACAGCTGAGAGTAGTTTTTTTGCAACTTGCCAAGCAGCCAACTAACCAATGTTGAATTATTTCCTTGGTGAAGCAGAATCTAAAACTAAGTCCCATACATTTTTAAGTCTCTGTCCTATAAAGGTATCAACTGTGGCTTGGTGAACACACAAATCTTAAAAAAGAAAAAAATTTAAAATGATAACTTCAAAGTCCAGATACTTGATTTAAAATATTTTTATCTCTGATGAATAAATTCCTCTGAAAATCTGTGTTACATGGGAAAAAGTTTTCAGATGGAACACTAAAGAAAAGACTGCCAGCAATTTCTGTAAATATAAAGACAATGAGGTTCTTTTAACTTGGTTCTAACCAATCATTTCTTGAGGCCTTTCTTAATAATTTATTGGTAACCAAGTTCTCCACACACATTAAGCTTTTACCACAATATTTGAAGAATTAAATGGCATTTCTCTTCTCAATTCATTTATATAAAACTATACATGCAGAAAGAAAAATTTTTAGAAATACTTGAAGGTACATCAAAAACCATAAGGTAACTAGGAATAAACCTAACCAAAGAGGCAAAGGACCTATACTCAGAAAACTGCAGAACACTCATGAAAGAAATTGAGGAAGACACAAAGAGATGGAAAAATGTTCTATCCTCATGGATTGGAACAAATATTGTTAAAATATCTATGCTACCTAGGGCAATCTATATATTCAATGCAATCCCTATCAAAATACCATCAACATTTTTCACAGAGCTGGAACATAAAATCCTAAAATTTGTATAGAACCAAAAAAAGACTCTGAAGAAATGTTGGAAAAGAAAACCAAAGCTGGTGGTATCACAATGTCAGACTTCAAGCTCTATTACAAAGCTGTGATCATCAAGACAGTGTGGTCCTAGCACAACAACAGACACATAGATCAATGGAACAGAAGAAAGATCCCAGAAATGGGCCCTCAACTCTATGCTCAACAAATATTCGACAAAGCAGGAAAGAAGATCCACTGAAAAAAGACAGTCTCTTGAACAAATGGTGTTGAGAAAATTGGACAGCCACATGCAGAAGAATGGAACCAGACCATTTCCTCACACCACACACAAAGATACACTCAACATGGATGAAAGATCTAAATGTGAGAGAGAAACCCATTAAAATCCTAGAGGAGAACACCACAGGTAGCAACCTCTGTGACCTTGCCCAGAGCAACTTCTTGCTAGACACATCTCCAGAGGCGAGAGAAACAAGGTCAAAAATGAACTACTGGGACTTCATCAAGATAAAAAGCTTTTGGGACACCGGGTGGCTCAGTGGTTGAGAGTCTGCCTTTGGCTCGGGTCGTGATCCCGGGGTCCTGGAATTGAGTCTCACATCGGGCTCCCCGCAGGGAGTCTACTTCTCCTCTGCCTGTGTCTCTGCCTCTCTCTGTGTCTCATGAATAAATAAAATCTTAAAAACAAAACAAAACAAAAACAAAAAAACGATAAAAGGCTTTTGCACAGCAAAGGAAACAGTCGACAAAACCAAAAGACAACCATGGTTTGCAAGTGACATATCAGATAAAAGGCTATATCCAAAATCTATAAAGAACATATCAAACTCAATACTCAAATAACAAGTAATCCAGTCAAGACATGGGCAGAAGACATGAAAAGACATTTCTCCAAAGACAACATAGACGTGGCCAACAGACACATGAAAAAATGCTCCGCATCACTTAGCATCAGTGAAAAACAGATCAAAACCACGATGAGATCCCACCTCACAGCAGTCAGAATGGCAAAATGAACAAGTCAGAAAACGACAGATGTCGGGGAGGATGTGGAGAAGGGGAGCCTCTTACACTGTTGGTGGGAACATAAGCTGGCACAGCCACTCTGGACAACAGTGTGGAGGGGCCTCCAGAAGTTGAACAGAGCTGCCCTACGACCCAGCAGCTGCACTGCTGGGGATTTACCCCAAAAATACAGATGTAGTGACCCAAAGGGGCACCTGCACCCCAATGTTCACAGCAGCAACGTCCACAAGAGCCAGACTATGGAAAGAGCCCAGATGGCCAATGACAGACGAATGGATAAAGAGGAGGTGTGTTGTGTGTGTGTATGTATATGTGTGTGTGTGTATATATATATGACATATATTATACATATATATAATGAATAAAATAAATGAAATCTTGCCATTTGCAATGACATGGATGGAACTAGAGGGTAATGCACGTAGTGAATTAAGTCAATCAGAGAAAGATAATTATATGATCTCACTCATGTGGAATTTAAGAAATAAAACAGAGGTTCATAGGGGAAGGGAGAGAAAAATAAAATGAAATCATAGGAAGCAAACTGAGGGTTGCTGCAGGGGAGGTGGATGGGGGATGTGGTACCTGGGTGATGGGCATTAAGGAGGGCATGTGATGTAGTGAGCACTGGGTGTTATATAACCCTGATGAATCACGGACCTCTACCTCTGAAACTAGTAATACATTATATGTTAATTAATTGAATTTAAATTTAAAAAGGAAAAAAAAAAGAAATACTTGAAGGTAAAAACTGTAAATGTGGGATGTGTGGCTGGTGCAGTGAGAAGAGCATACAATTATTGATCTCAGGGTCACAAGTTCAAGGCCCACATTGGGTGTAGAGATTACTAAAAAAGATAAACGAATTTAAAAAACTTAAAATTTAAACTTAAAAAAAATTTGAGAGTATCATCTATATATACTGTTGGAAGTAGAAAATATATGACATCACAACATCAACTTTCTCTTTTGACAATGAACAAAATTACTTCAAAACAGTAATTTGACTAGGTAGTAACAAAATCATTCCAATTATAGTCTAAGCTGGGTTTAATTAGGTATTTCAGAAACCACCACTGGTCCATCACCCAGAAGGATGCCCCTGAAAGTGTCCTAAGGGTCCTAACAAAATAGACTGGGGAGGAGGGCGGGGGGTGGGGGTGAATGGGTGACGGGCACTGAGGGGGACACTTGACGGGATGAGCACTGGGTGTTATTCTGTATGTTGGTAAAATGAACACCAATAAAAATTATTAAAAACAAAAAAACAACAAAAAAAACAAAATAGACTAATCTAAAATAATTTTTCCCATCATACCTGGTACTAATAGGTAAATAGGTAGGAAGAAAATCACCCCAAAATATACATTAATAGTGTTTCAGGTCAGTATCTAAGACTAAGATCAGTGGGTTTCCAATTTGAAGAGCCTGATGACCACGTAATTCCATCCTACAAAATCTAACAGTCCAACTAAGGTAGTTTAACATGCTGAGCTACTCAATATTTATGCCTAAATTTTTATTCTATGATTCAAGGAGACAGGCAAGGTTTTCCTCTTCTTCCCCCGGTTTACAGGGAAGGTGAGGTCTCTACCTCCATCCAACTCATGTGGTTAGCCAGAGTCAGCTACCTGCCAGAGTATGGCCACAAAGTGTTCAAAGTGGTGATGGCAATGGGAGACGGTCCCAGAGCTGAATCCAAACTCTTACAGCTCCATGAGCACACACAGCAGACATTTATACACAGACACGACAGACAGACACACGGAGACAGCTCCCAAGGTTCCCTAACCACATGACACGGGTTACATTTCAATAATTTTCAAATCCTGTTTTTAAACCTATTTCCAATATTAATGAAAATAAAAGCACGTGACATCAACAAAAATGTCACAAAGCTCATAACTAATTTGTACTCAAAAAAAAAGAAAAACTACGTTGAAAGTTCTATTTTCTAAGGCTTGGTTGAAAGCCAGAAATTTACTGATTTTAGGTGTATTCTTATCAAAATAAGGAGGGCACCAGCTTAAAATAATGATTTTTTGAAACAAATCCATTTGTAACTTCTTTTTATAACATTTTCATTTCATAAATCATTTTTCTTAAAAAGATTTTATTTACTTATGGGGCACCTGGGTGGCTCAGGGGTTGAGCATCTGCCTCCGGTTCAGGGCATGACCCCGGGGTCCCAGGATCGAGTCCCACAACGTGCTCCCTGCAGGGAGTCTGCTTCTCCCTCTGCCTCTCTCTCTGTGTCTCTCATGAATAAATTTTTAAAGAAATCTTTAAAACATGGGATCCCTGGGTGGCGCAGCGGTTTGGCGCCTGCCTTTGGCCCAGGGCGCGATCCTGGAGACCCGGGATCGAATCCCACATCGGGCTCCCGGTGCATGGAGCCTGCTTCTCCCTCTGCCTGTGTCTCTGCCTCTCTCTCTCTGTGACTATCATAAATAAATAAAATAAAAAAAAAATCTTTAAAACAATGTTATTTATTTATTTGACAGAGAGAGAGCACAAGCAGGGTAACTGCAGGCAGAGAGAGAGGCAGAGGGAGTAGCAGACTTCCGGCTGAGCAGGGAGCCTTGATGCGGGGATCCATCCCAGAACACGGGGATCATGACCTGAGCCAAAGGCAGATGCCCAACCAGTTGAGCCACCGGTGTCCTCAGAAATCATTTCCTGAGAAATGTTCCAGATGATGTGCTATAGAAAATACTAAGATTTCATAGGTCTATTGGACACTATGCTCAGGATTCTTTTTCTTTTGTTTTGTTTTTTGTTTTTTTTTTTTAATATTTATTTATTTATGATAGAGAGAGAGAGAGAGAGAGGCAGAGACACAGGAGGAGGGAGAAGCAGGCTCCATGCCAGAAGCCTGACGTGGGACTCGATCCTGTGACCCCAGGATTGCACCCCAGGCCAAAGGCAGGTGCCAAACCGCTGAGCCACCCAGGGATCCCCTTCTTTTTAGAGATGTATTTATTTTACAGAAACAGAGTGAGTGTGTGCATACATGCACAAGTGAGGAGAGGGGAGAGGGAGAGACTCTCACACAGACTCCCTGCTGGGTACGGGGCCTAATAACGGGGGGGCTCACGGGGCTCCATCCCAGACCCTGGAGACCACCACTTGAGCTGAAACTAGTCAGATGCTCACCCGACTGAGCCACCCAGGTGATCCTGTGCCCAGTATTCTTGAAATCTAATGCCAATGATATGTGTAAGCAAATAATTAAAGTGTTATTATACTAAAAAAAAAAAAAAAAAAAAAAGCTACGTTCCTTTTACACATCTGACTAGAAAATTTACAAATTCTTATCGCTTATGATCCACCAAATTTTATTTAAGCACTGTCTCCTTAGCTTCTGAAACATAATTTGTTCTAAAAGGTGAAATTTTACCTGTGTTACATAAGGTTGCAGGCAGTGGGAAAAGTGGTCTTTGCACAAACTGATGCAGAGGCTGTTTCTTAATGGTGTCTGGATTCATCATCGCACAGAATCTACATTCAAAAACAAATAAAAATGACATTTCAAGAGATAATCTTTTAAGCTCAGTGTCTACTTCTTATATTTATAAAAAAAATAATAACAACAAAGCTTAGTTTTCATCCTCCATCCACATTACTTGCACTTCCTTGGGCAAGCAACATCTGCAAACAGTTTAAGAACAAGAGCTCACGTGGAAATTTACAGCCTTGATAACTGAGTGTCACAGGATAGTGCAATACCCAGTGTAAGAAACAGAAACGCTACATTTGTGATTTATAACCCAGATTCTCAGACCCTTAGTGATGCATGAAGGATGCAAAGAACTACAAACTGTTATTTTTCTTCTTTTTTAATTTAAAAAAAAAAAAAAAAAGGGATCCCTGGGTGGAACAGCGGTTTGGTGCCTGACTTTGGCCCGGGGCGCAATCCTGGAGACCCGGGATCGAATCCCGTGTCAGGCTCCCAGTACATGGAGCCTGCTTCTCCCTCTGCCTGTGTCTCTGCCTCTCTCTCTCTCTGTGACCATCATAAATAAATAAAAATTAAAAAAAAAAAAAAAACCACTAGGTAATAGTCACACAGTTCAAAATTCAAAGAGAGGGCAGCCCGGGTGGCTCAGCGGTTTAACACCGCCTTCAGCCCAGGACGTGATCCTGGAGACCCAGGATCAAGTCCCACGTCGGGCCCCTTGCAGGGAGTCTGCTTGTGTCTCTACCTGTGTCTCTGCCTCTCTGTGTGTCTTCCATGAAAAATAAATAAAACCTTAAAAAAAAATTCAAAGAGAACAAAAGTAAATATTGGGGAAGTCCTCCTCCCTTTTCTGTCTCTACCATATTTCCCTGTAAAAAAGAGAACCAATAGTACCTGTTTTGAAAGGTATTTCACACTTCAAAAAGTCTAATAGAAAGTGTACTATTCTTCTCCAAACTGCTAACATATCAAACAATTTTTATATGCTTTTTGACTGGAAACCTCTTAAGCTGGTATTTGTAACTTTGGTTATTTCACTGTATTAGAGAAGTATTAATTGGTTATTTTTTTGTGGCTTCGACAAAAAAATGAAGAAGGGAAAAATAAATATTATTAGGAAAGGAGAAAAAAAAAACGCTTTAGTGAAAAGTTTTAGAGACCTTTAGAAACTTGATGCAAGTTACTTTAGGATCCAGTTCCCGGCAGCCCGGGTGGCTCAGTGGTTTATTGCTGCCTTTGACCCAGGTTGTGACCCTGGAGACCCGGGATCGAGTCCCACAGGCTCCCTGCATGGAGCCTGCTTCTGCCTCTGCCTGTGTCTCTCATGAATAAATAAATAAATAAAATCTTTAAAAAAGAAAAAAAAAAAAAAAAGGACGGAGAGGGGCCTGCAAAAAAAATCTTCCAGCAAGCTTAATGCATTTAAGCTTCTCAAGGGCGCCATGAGCACGAAAGCTGCCAACGTTCACTACGTGAAACCTTAGGCCGTCCTGTCCTTTTGGTCCAGAAGCAAAAATCAGGGCAGGACAGGTACGTGGGTCGTGAGTCCTGTTCACCTGAGCAACGTGGGCAGGTGTCAGGGGAGGCCGCACGGCAGGCAGGTGGCTCGGGGGGCTCAGGCCCAGAGGCCCGGATCCTCCGCGCAGCCCCTGCCCTTGGAAGCTGTGACCTCCTACAGCTCGGGTCACGTCCCTTCCGGGCCTTCGGGGCACAGGACACCCCCTACCGTCCGCGGACACTCGGGTTTGTGCTTAAGAGGCGGGGGGGGGGGGGGGGCGGGCTCAGCGCTGGAGACCTGCCCCGGCCCAGGCGTGACCCCGGGTCATGGGTTCGAGTCCCGCGTCGGGCCCCGGCGTGGAGCCTGCGTCTCCCTCCGCCCGGTCTCCGCCTCTCTCCGTGTGTCTCATGCATAAATACGTAAAATCGTTAAAAAAAAATAAAAATAAAAAAAGAGGGAACGCCGGTGGGGGAGGGAGGGGGCCCGCGGGCCTCGCCGCGCTGCACAGGCCCCCACCCGGCTGAGCCCCGACGGCAGCGGCGGCCCCGGAGGTCGCTCGGGGGCACTCGTCCCCGCCCCGCCAGGCCCGGCGGCACCGGGTGCGGAGCTCCGGGCTCTTCACCTACCGCCCACGCAGCCCCGCGGCCGCGGCCGCAGCTCCCCCGCGCAGCCCGGCCGCCGCCATCTTAGTCCGAGTGCGCAGGCGCGGGCGCGGGCGCAGGCGCAGACCGGGAGCTGGGCGGGCTCCGCGGAGAGCGCACCCTGCCGGCCGCGGGCGGCGCTGCCACCGGGGAGCGGGAGAGGCGGACGCCGCTCCGGGACGCCTTTGCCCGGCTCCGCGGTGGAGACCGCACCTGGTCCCGGTGCCCGCCTCCGCGGGAGAGACCCGCACCCGGCCCCCTGGCCCCACCTCCGCGGTAGAGACCCTCACCCGGCCCCCTGCACCCACCTCGGCGGTGGAGACCCGCACCTGGCCCCCTGCACCCACCTCCGCGGTGGAGACCCTCACCTGGCCCCCTGGCCCCACCTCCGCGGTAGAGACCCTCACCTGGCCCCCTGCACCCACCTCCGCGGTGGAGACCCGCACCTGGCCCCCTGCACCCACCTCCGCGGTGGAGACCCTCACCTGGCCCCCTGTACCCACCTCCGCGGTGGAGACCCGCACCTGGTCCCCTGCACCCACCTCCGCGGTGGAGACCCACACCTGGCCCCCTGGCCCCAACTCCGCAGTAGAGACCCTCACCTGGCCCCCTGTACCCACCTCCGCGGTGGAGACCCGCACCTGGCCCCCTGCACCCACCTCCGCGGTGGAGACCCGCACCTGGTCCCCTGCACCCACCTCCGCGGTGGAGACCCACACCTGGCCCCCTGGCCCCAACTCCGCAGTAGAGACCCTCACCTGGCCCCCTGTACCCACCTCCGCGGTGGAGACCCGCACCTGGCCCCCTGCACCCACCTCCGCGGTGGAGACCCGCACCTGGTCCCCTGCACCCACCTCCGCGGTGGAGACCCACACCTGGCCCCCTGGCCCCAACTCCGCAGTAGAGACCCTCACCTGGCCCCCTGCACCCACCTCCCCAGTAGAGGCCCGCACCCGGCCCCTGGCCCCACCTCCGCGGTAGAGACCCGCACCCGCTCCCCTGCACCCACCTCCGCGGTAGAGACCCGCACCTGGCCCCCTGCACCCACCTCCGCAGCGGGTCCGCAGCAGGCAGGTACAGGTCCCAGAGACGCGGCGCCCTGGGACAGACACCGGGACTCCGCAGGCAGGCGGAGCAGGGCATCACCCTCCCCTCCTGCTGGGGGTGCACTCACAGGGACGATCCTCTGCAGGGTGCTGTCCCCCACCCCACCCGGTCGTGGCCGCTGGTGGGGCCCTACTCGCCCTCCAGGCCCAGCTCAACAGCCGCCTGGACGACTGACTGCCTGGGGCCTCAGCTCCCAGGGGTTCCCCCCTTCTGCAGCAAGAGGCCTGCCTTGTTCCCCGGGCCGAGGTGGACGGGGTTCCCCGGGCCGAGGTGGACGGGGTCATCCTTCTGCAGCCTGGGCTGCTGGACCCCGTCATCTGGGACCCACCCCAGGGAGGACTCCCCGCCTGCACAGCTGCCCTTTGCCGTATCAACAGGAGTATTTGATGAGTTTCCAGAGTACAAAAGCCATTTCTGTTCAAAGTACAGAAGCCCATTAACTACTCTTCCAGAACTTTCCTTGAGTATTCTGCTTTCTCTAGGAGGACGGGTCTCAAGATGTGCACCTGGGCAGCCGCGGAGGCGACGGCATCCAAAGCCGGCCTTAAACCTACTGAGCCACAGGGTCTGCGGGCGGGGGTCTATACTCGCTTTCAGCAGGACCTTCGGCTAGAGTTTGAGAACCACTGCTCTAGAAGTAAGCACAGAACTGGCTTCTGGACTAGAAACTCCCGTTGTTGGGCAGGTTGAAGCGACACCACGGTGGCCCGTGTGGCCTGGAGACTAAGGTGGGGGGTGGAGGGGGAGCTGCGGGCCTGGATGCCGCTGGCTCGGACACGGAGCAGGCCCTGGCTCCGGGGCACGTTGCCTTCTCCCAGCTCTACCGGGCTTCCGCCCCGGCTCTGCGGTGCCGCTCGGGACCTCGGGGCTCGCCCCGCCTGCTGTCTTTTAGGTCTGGACCCAACAGGCCCGGGGGAGGGAACAGTCTCCTCCTCCTCCGGGGTTCCCGCCCAGAAGAGAAATCCTGCCTTGCCCCCATCTCCCCGAGCCGCCACTCTTCTTCCCTTCAGAGCCAGATTTTAATCATTAGTGTTTCCAAGCTGCTGAGCCACCACTCCCCCCTTCCCCCCTTCCCCCCCTTCCCGTGTCCCGTGCTCTCCACCCCCAGGCACCTCTAGTCAGGACCCTCTCTTTTTCCTTTTTGGCTCTTCCTCTCCTGAATCGCTTGTATTAATCCCCCCAGGTCTGAACATAAGGTAGGGATATTCTCCCTAAATATCCTGCCTTGGGGGGCTTCCCTGAGCCCCCCCTCCCTCCCATCCAAACGGTCTCCTTCGTTGGTCTCTCTCTCAACACACCCTGCCTTTTCCTTTGCAGTGCATCCTCCCACCGTGTCACGATGTATCCGGGTGTTGATTTTTCTAACGGTCGCCTAAGACTTAGAGGGGCACGTGTGTCTCTTTCCTCCTGTGTCCCAGCACCTGCTGTGACACCTGGCACACGGTGGGCACTCGACCAGAAGTTGTTGAGCGAATGCAGTCACCCCACCCTTTGTCACACCCGGGACGTTTGTTCACTGCGTGTGGCGCCCCTGCGGACGCAGAAGGGGGGCCTGGCCTGGCATTGCGCAGGCGGGGTGTGGCCGCCCCCCACCCCCCACCCCCGGAGAGCACCGTGGCCACTGGCACATGAAACCAGCGACAGCAGCGGGGGACAACTCAGGGACAGACGCCAATCAGCCTTCATCTTTTACTCCAAATGTGCTAGAGGAGGGGCGACTCCTTTAGGAAGAGGTGAAGCTGCGACTCTGTGTCCCTGTTGGTGCCCCGCGCCTTCCCGTCTGTGTCCAGGGCACACGTGCGCACACACCGTAACCGATGGAAACTGGTATTTTCCCCAACATCATTTCGTGAAGGTGCCAGCCCTGCTCCACTTGTTGGCTAAGAAGGTTCCCAGATGGCGTGACCCGGGCCAAACAGTCGTGGGTTTGCTCCTCCACCGCCCACTCAGCAGCTGTTTGTTAAGGACGGAACCTTCCGAGGGCGACCAGCGCCTGGCGCGCGTGCTGCTAAGGGAGGCGAGTGGGAGACGAACCCCCTGTGGTCGCACCCGCGTGGGGAGTCTGAGAAAACAAGCACAGGGAAGAAGAGTAGGAGAAAGAAATCGGGAAACAGACTCTTAACTATAGAGAAGCAGCTGACGGGGGGGGGGGGGGGGGGTAGGTGGGGCCTGAGGGGCGCTGGCCGTGAGCCCCGGGGGCTGTGCACTGCCGGACCCTATGCGCGGAACACTCTTAACTGGAATCACAATGAAAACTTTACAGAATGGTCTAAACTAACTATGTTTCGATTAAGTGTCATCTATAATCCACACCTGGTGTCACGTTGGTGACAGGTGCGCAGTCTAGCGCCTCGATCCCTGCCGGTGCTCGCGATGAGTGGACTCTGGGCCCGTCTCCCCATCCGCGCCCCCCTCCCCCCGGCAGCCCCCAATCTCTTCTCTGTAGTTAGGAGCCTGGGCTTTCGCTTGTCTCTTTTTTCCTTGCTCGTTGGTTTTCGGCCAATGCGTGTTGAGCGCTGCCTGGGTACCACGTGCGGGCGCTGCGCTTTGCCTCCGGGTGGCCCGCCACCTGCCGCTGGTCCCCTTCCCCCTCTCTACCAGCCCCTGGACTTTGCTCAGTGGCGACGTCTTCAATCTAACAATAGTAGCTCAGCGTGGTGTGCGGCTACGGCGTTGGCTTGTCATGTGGCAGTGCTCCAGCCAGGGGTGTCCCAAAGGGCCGTCCCGTCCTGTCGGTGCGGGAGGGAACACGGGTCCTCCCTGAGGCCCCAGCCGCCAGCCCCCAGCTGCCACCCTCCCTAGGCTGCCTGCTGCGTGACAAAACAAGTCAGCCTCAGTTTTGCCGATGCCACTGGCCACACGGATGATCGAAATCTTTGGTTCGAGGATGTAAAGGTGAACAGAACAACTCGGGGTGTCAGGGAGCTCCCAGAAGAGAGGCGGGAATCAAGGCAGGCGGCTCCAGGGACAAAGTGCTAGACAAGGGCCGCTCAGGGCCCTGTGGCACAGGTGTGGGAGGGGAGCGACGACCCGGGTGACAGGGGAGCCCGAGGAGGGCCTCCCGGGAGGGCCAGTTCCCGAGCGCAGGGCTCAG